AGGGCATGAAGCTAGCTGTGAATAACATCACTTGCATGGGTATGTTTTGGCACTGCCCAAGGCCTGGATTCCTGGGGCCACGGGCTGGGAGGAGGAGGAGGATACTGGGTGTTGAGATGCATCAGTGCATGCTCTGACTTCAGGGAGCATGTAGTCTAGTGGTCTAGTGTGGGAGGGTCACTATCTATCTATATGAATCTATCTCTCTCTATATATCTATATACCTATCTATATATCTATATCTATATCTATATCTATATCTATATCTATATCTATATCTATATCTATATCTATATCTATATCTATATCTATATCTATATCTATATCTATATCTATATCATCTATGTCTATATGACATTTGCCATGGGGGATGTGAAGTGTTTTAGGGTTCTCAGGAGGGACAGGTTGTGCTTGTCTAGGATAAGTGGAAAGCATTCTGGAAAAGCATTTGAGCTGAGTCTGGAGGCAAGGCTAGGACCTGGGGTAAAGGGGCAGAGAGGAGCTTCCCACTGGAGGTGTCTCTCTTTCTTCCTAGACCTGCCCCCCTATCAGGCCCTCTGGTTCTGTTAGTGGTGGTGGTGGCAGCTCCTACTCTGAGCTCCTATGTGTGTGGGTTCTGATTCTGGGTCCGGATCATTCAGCAAGCATGGCTGATTCAAGGCTGCCCACCGCTCCCCTGAGCTGTGTGGGGTCTCAGGGGCAGACATGGCTGATTTCAAGACCCCCTGCTCTCAGCAGAGCAATGGTGAACACCTCTGGGGTCCCAAGGACAGAAGCAGCTGGGAGGCCAGGGGGAAACATTTGCCTTAGTGGGCATCTGTGGATGCGCCCTGGGCAGGAGGAGGCAAAGCAGAGTGGGCTGCTGGGCAGAGAGAGTGCCGTTGTTCCCCCACCCTCAATGAACCATAAGAAGTGGCAGGATTGGGGGGCAGGATTGCCAGGCCCTGAGCTCCAGCTGAGTAAGCTTTAATCTTCCACCATCAGACCAGCCCCTCACCCCTACTGCTGCCAGATGGGGCTTGGCCCGGCCCAGTCCTGGCCCCTGCTCCCAGGGCTTAGGGAAAGATTTCTCCAGACAAGGCCCCTCTGCTCAGGTGAGTCCTCCTGCTCCTTCTGGGACCCTATGCACTCTGAATCCCCACCCCCCATCCCACTCCCTGGTGAATTATAGACCCTAGAGAGCAACTGTTGGCCCAAAAACCCTGTGTAGAAGCCAGAGAAGCTCCAAAATAGAAAATAACTTATCCAGGGTCAGATGTCATCCCTAAGCTCTGGGATGGTAGGAACCCCAGGATATGATTCCTTTGGAATGGGGTTTGCCTCCACCTCAAGGTGTCAGCAAGGACCTAAGGGTAGACCTCATATAGACTCCCACCCCCACCCTGACCCCATACCTGCCTTCTCTTCTGCCCGGGCTCTTTGCCAGTCAACATTGCCTCTGCAGGGCTTTCACCTGGGAACAGGCCACGTTGTAGACCAGTGTTCCCCAAACTTCTCTCATGACGAGAATCACCTGGTGGAGTGGTTAAACTACAGATTCCTGAATCCCAACTAAGAAGTGCTAAACTAGAATTTTTGGGAACATATAGGTAAAATTGTAGTTTGGGATTCCTGAATCCCAACTAAGCTTAGAGCACTAGTTACGTACACAATTTTACCTATATGTTCCCCAAAATTCTAGTTTAGCACTTCTTAGTTGGGATTCAGGAATCTGTAGTTTAACCACTCCCCTAGGTGATTCTCGTCATGAGGGAAGTTTGGGAGACACTGCTGGAGAGAAAGCCCAGGCCCTCCATGCCAGCGCAGCCAAGGAGCGAGGAGAAGGGAGGTAAAGAGACATTAGGTTCTCTGGAACCCTTCCTCGGGCTCAGCTACCCACTCCCTTCTGTCTTCACGCAGAGCCCTGGGCCCTCATGCCTTTGGTGAGGTCTATGAGGGACTGGTTATGGCTTCCTGGGGATCCCAGCCCCTGCAGGTGGTCATCAAGGTGAGAGGGGGTGGGGCTCCTGGCTGGGGCTGGGAGAGCAGGGTTCCAAGGAGAGAGAAACAATTGCTGATGCTAAGGCCAACCCACTCTCCTGGCGTCTGGGGAGCTCAGGAGCTCGGTGCCCTTTTCCTCTGCTCTCCTCAGGGCCAGCGGATTTCCTCATGGGGTGCACCTGGGGCCGGAGGCCATGTGGGAGCTGTGGGGAAGGCACTCAGAATCTGTGGAACAGCCTCTCCTCACCATGGGGCTAAGAGGTAGCAAGTCTAGGGAGGTCCCCTGCAGTTCTGTGGAGCCTACAGCGCGGTTCCTCTCCCTGCTGGTGATGGGATAGTGCACCACCAGCCAGCAAGCTCAGCCTCAGCACGTTGTGCCGTGTGGAGCTCAGCCGGCAGGCCGGCCCTCACCTCCTTCTGCTGGAGCTGATGTCTGGAGGGGACATGAGGTTTCCTGAGGCGCAGCCCGCCACACCTGCTAAGATCCTTCTCCCAGGGCCCCAGGTCCCTCTAAAGACCCTGCCCACGTGTGCCAAACCTTCACGGGCAAAGGCACCCTCTGCCCAGCCCAGGGCCAGCCTCCACCTCTGGCCACGCAGGACCTGCTCCAGCCGGCCCAGGACAGAGCCCGGGGCTGCCACTACGGGGAGGAAAATCTCCCTCTGGGGGCGTCCACTTGACTGGCAGGTCAGGTCATACTGGTTCCTGGGAGCACTTGGCCCAACTGCCACCGCCCCCAACAGAGAGACCTTCCTCATAACTTTTATGAAGGTGGATCAGAGCAGGAGAGTCTGAGTTCCGCAGTCCTCCCGACTCTGCAGGGACATTGCTGCCAGGAACCGTCTGCTGAGCTGCAGTGGCCAGCTGGGTGACCAAGATGGGGACTTCTGGGAGGCTACAGATACCTACAAGTTGGGGCCTGGGGAGGTGGGGAAGGCTGCTGCTTCAGGGAGTTTCCCAGCAGCCTCCTGTGATTTGAATAACTCATCACTCCCTCCTCCCCCAATAGAGGCAGTTATTACCTAAAGGGTCGCCAGGCTCTGCTGCCCCAGTAAATGCTCCAGGCACCTTCCTGGAGGGCATCGTCACATCCCAGACAGAGCCCTGGTGATACCACACCCTCCCCTGCCCTGCCCTGCCCTGGGCACCTCGTTTGAGGGAAAGGGAAGCTGTGCCTGATGGGTTCATTAGGTTCCCCCCACTCATGATGCAGATCCTTTGGGGTGCTGCTCTGGGAGAACTCACTGGGCTACATGCCCTGCCCTGGGCACCAGCCAGGAGGTGTGAGACTTCATGGCCAGAGTTGGACTAACAGCCAGCCTCTCCCAGGGCTGTCTGTCCAGGGCCTCTGAGAGCATAGAGTGTTGCCCCGGAGGAGGTTCTTCACAGCCCTGGTTGAGCACAAACTCCCACATCTCCCCAGGTACCCTTCATGGCCCAGTGTTGGCAGCACCAGCTTGAACTCCACCCTAGTTTTGCCAGCATCTTCGAGCATTTTCACTATTGGAATCAGCTGTGTCCGTAACCTGCCCTGACCATCCTGTCTTGGGAGGGAGGCCATAAAGCAACGTGGCCCACTGCTCCCTTCCCCTGCTGTGCTCCCTTCCCTCCCCTGCTGTGCTCCCTTCCTTCTGCTGTGCTCCCTTCCCTCCCCTGCTGTGCTCCCTTCCCCTGCCCTGCTGTGCTCCCTTCCTTTGCTGTGCTGAATTCCCCTCTGCCACTGGAGCTAGGGCCCAGGAAGAGGAAGGGCTGCTGGGCAGGGGAGCAGGTCTTTGGATGGTCTAAGATCCCCACAGGCCCAGGAACTGAGTCTGAAGAACTTCAAGAGCCGGGAAGGGAGCTGGCTGCCCTCTGGCCTCAAGCCCCCCAGTTCCAGAGGACTCCAACCTTGGAACCCTTGGAATCCCATCTATAGCTGCTGGGCCCCAAGGGGCCCTGAGAGTGAGGACACAGGCACTGGCGCTAGCAGAGGCTCCTCCCTGCACTCCTCCCTGGGCTTCTAGGTGGCTTGTTATTCCAGAAGCCGCTCCCCCACCTCCACCCCAGTTAGTACTGCATGCTTGGGCCTGCCTCAAGGTTGGCCTGTACCTCTGGACTTTCCATCCTGGAAACCAGCCCCAGCCTCCTGGGGAAGAGCATAGCCACTCCCAAACTTTGAACTTTGGGGCCAGAGCAGAGGCCAACCCCCTTTCCCCAGATGTGGGTGGCCAGCTGAAATTGCCTCCTGCAGAAAGCCTTTGCTGGACTGCCCTCCCCTCTGAGTGTCCTTCATCTGGGCATCCGCAGCCCTACAGATGACGCTAAGAGCTCCTCACCCCGCCAGTGTGGCTCAGCTGGCGCGAGTGTCATCTTGATGCACAAAGGTTGCTGGTTGGATCCTGGTCAGGGCACATACAGGAAGCAACCCATGAATGGATGGGTGGAACAACAAACAATCTCTCTCTCTCCCCCTCTCCTCCTCCTCAACCTCCCCCTCCTGACCCTCTTTCAAATCAATCAGTACATTTTCTTGTTTAGAAAGAACTCTTTTCAAATCCTCCAGTGATCTGAGTGAACATGAGAGAAGCCTGGGAACTGAGGAAGAGGGGACCAGAAGGGGGAGGAGATGAAGTCTGAGTCACCAAAGCTGGTGTCTTTGAGTTTTATTGGGGAGGGGAGTCCACTGTAGTGTGGGGAGGGTAGATCAATAGATCTAGTGCCTGTGGAGTAAAATTCATTCTCTCACCTCTCTGAGCAGCACAGCGCCCCCTCAGAATGACTGGACTCAGGAAGATGCCCATCGTCACAGTCTACCCCCACCCCCTAAAGTAGTGTCATCGCCTCTGGGACCTCTTGGGTTTGTATGGGAAACAGCCCTGGTGCGTGCAGTGCGCCCCACAGTGGTTGGCACCTGGTCCTACAGGACCCTATGAACCACCCAACCTCTGGGCTTGTCTTTTCCCAGCATGCACAGCGGGGACAAAGCTGCAGGTCCGTTTGCGAGACCAGCGGGTCTGTGCGGGGACAGGGGCTCCTTAGCCTCATCTCTCGGCCAGGCTGGCCAGGATGCTAATGAGATTGTCCAGCCCCAGCAAATAGCCGTCCTCGCGGTTGCCCTCCTCCCAGGGCCTGCGGTGGTCCAGGGTCTGGCCGTCAGGGAGGGGCGTGGTCTTGCCGAAGTCGATGAGCCACACCCCCGCGCGATGGCAGTGGTCGTGCACGAAGAGCAGGGAGCTGCCGATCACCTGCAACACCCACAAGGTCAGACCGTGGCCCTTTCCGGGGACCCCCCCCCCGCCCCTCCACAGACCGGGAACCTGGCCCCCCCTTACCTCGTGCCTCCTAAAGAACTCAGAGACCTCCAAGGTGTCCCGGATGTGCAGCAGGCGGTTCAAATACCTCCTCTGGAGGGTGGGGAGGGAGAAGAACGGACATGACTGAGCTTGTGCTAACACCAGGGGTCGGGACTCGTGCTCTGCGGGGTAAACACCGTGCAGGAAACACAGGCCCTCACGTGGCGCGCAGGACAGGAGGGAAGAAACGTAAACATTACAACACAACGTGATAAAATGCTACGATGGGAGGGGTCACAGAGGCGAGGGCCCTGGACAGGACGGCCTGGGGCGCCCCCGGCGCAGCCCAGGGTGCTCGGGTGCCCGGCCGCGGACTCACCAGCACCTCCGCGTCCCCTTGCACAAAGTCCTGGAAGACCCGGGTCACCTGCTCCCGGCTCCGCGTGGTCTTGAAGTCTGTGCTGCAGGACCCGTCGGCTTTCTTAAGGGGGGGAGGGGGGGACAGGAGGCGTCAGGGCCGTGCCCGTCCAGGGGAGAAGGTCAGTGCGAGCAGCGGGGTCTCCTCGGACGTGGGAGGACACATTTCCCGGAACCGGCGAGGCCGCCGCGGGGGCGCGTGTTCAGAGGGGCGGGAGGGAGGGGCGGACTCGAAGCTTTGACCCGGCGGAGGGGGCCTGGGGCTGGGGCGGAGCGGGGCTGGGGCGGAGGGCGGCGGGGGGCTGGGCGCAGGGCGGCGGGGGGCAGGGGCGCAGGGCGGCGGGCTGTGCAGAGCAGAGCGAGCAGGGCCCACCTTGATGCCCTCGATGCGGAAGCCCAGCGTGGTGCTGGAGCTGATGCCCTCCCGCCACTGCATGTAGCGCGGCTTGGTGACGGCGCGCTGCGCGTGCTCCTCCTCCGTGGGCGCCTCGGGGTCCACGGCCAGCATCTTCTTGTACATGTCCTTCCGCAGCTTGGGCCGCTCGCGCGCTTTGGCCAGCTCCTCCTCCAGGTACGTCCTGCGGCGCGGAGGCGAGGGCCGCGCGGGGCTTGAGCGGACTCAGCCCGGACCGGGGAGCCCGGCCCCGGTGCCCGCCCCGCCCCCGCCGCCGCCCCGGTGCCCGCCCCGCCCGCAGAGCCCACGCACCTGACGCCCATCTTGCAGTCGAGCACGCAGGGGCCGTCGAAGCCGTCCAGCAGGTCCTGCAGCTGCAGGTAGCTCTCGCCGTCGCGCTCCACCTCGCCGTGGAAGGCGGGCACGCAGCCGCGCAGCGCGTCCGCCATCAGCCGCGCCAGGCAGTAGCGCTCCGACTCCGAGCTGCGCTTCAGGATCAGCCCGCTGGTGCCCGCCGCCTTGAAGCTCCCTGCGGACGGCGCCGGTTAACGCCGCCCGGCCGGCCCTCCCTCCCCAACCCACCCCACCCCTGCCCTGCTCACCGGTGTGCCCCGCCAGCTGCACCCAGGCGTAGCGCCTCTTGAACGGGCTTATGACGGGCATGTTCACCATGGTCCGGATCTTCTGCCAGTGGCTTTTCTGAAAGCAACACGGTCGGAGCCCGCAGGTCCAGCATCTCATCGATGCATAAGCCCTCCCTCCTCAGGACCGGGACTCAGCCAGCCGCGCCCCACCGCAAGCAGCTAGGGTCCCACGGTTCATTCATTTGTTCAGGGCACTTTATCGTGCGCCTGTGTGGTGGGCATTGAGGCACACAGGGTGGGGGCAGATAGCCAGCTGCTCAAATGTGCTGGAAAGAGCCCTGGGCTTAGCGTCAGAAGGCTCAGGACTGTGCTACATACAGTTCTGCCCCTCAAAAGCGGTGTCTGCTCTGTCGGAGGTTTTTGTGAGCGTGAGAATCAACTGTTGACCACCCTTGTTAAAAAATGGAGGTTCTGCCAAGACCGGTTTGGCTCAGCGGTAGAGCATCCGTCTGCGGACTGAAGGGTCCCAGGTTCGATTCCTGTCCGGAGCATGTACATTGGCTCCTGTGGGAGGTGTGCAGGAGGCAGCTGGTCGATGATGTCTGTTGCTCATCTATGTTTCTAGCTCTCTACCCCTCTCCCTTCCTCTCTGTAAAAAATCAATTAAAAAAAATTTTTTTAAATGCAGGTTCTTGGGTTTACCACAGGAAAATTCTGAGTAAGTGGGGTAGGACCAAAAACTTGCATTTCTATCAATGTGTCAAGATATTTGGGGGCCTGAGAAACAAGCCTTTGAGCATCAGTTTCTTCATCTGTAAAATGGGGAGATAACTGCTCTCACTGTGTTATGAATAGTAAACGAGGCTTGAAAGTGACTGACTCTTTCTCCCCTAACCTCATTTCTTGGCATGAAGTAGAAGCTGGACAAATATGGATTGTTTTTTAAAATGCATTTTTATTGATTTCAGAGAAGAAGGGAGAGGGAGAGATGGAAACATGAATGATGAAAATCATTGATCCGCTGCCTCCTGCACGCCCCCTATTAGGGATGAAGCCCGCAGTCCAGGCATGTTCCCATGGAGTCACACCGTGACCGCCTGCTTCATAGGTTGATGGTCAACCACTGAGCTGGACTGGATTGCTTTTTAAACTTATTTTGAGAAGATGTTTAACAAAGCTGGGGACAGTGAAACAAGGAAGGGCCTAGCACAGATAGGAGCAACAGGAAAGAGGCTGCTTTGGTTTGCTAGAAAGGGTATGGCGGAAAACATGAGCCAATGTGGAGCTGCTGTCAGCTCACTTGGGAGTCAGAGGAAAGGGCACCTTGGGGACAGGTGCAGGGCATTCGTCCCTGATGAGAGGTGGCCGCCCTTTACTCCCTGGTTACAGGTCTCATGGGTCTCTGAGGGGAGAAGAGACGTGTGGGGAGAAGAGGCGAGGAAGGAGAGAGCACGCCCAAAATATGGACTGTTGATGCATTCACTCTGGGACCACAGGTTCCTCTCATTTAGGGAGACAATCACAGAAACTAATCTTGACAAAGGCCCAGGCAGGGAGGCCAGCCTGGCTGGGTCTGAAGGAATGATGGCTTGAGGTTTCCCCAAATCATCTGCTATCCCTGGGTGCCATATCACTCCTCACCAGTTAGCAAGACCCAGGGGCATCCTTGGTTCTCAACTGGACCTAGAAGCCTGAGCTTTGAAAATGCAATACAGCCAAAACCGGTTTGGCTCAGTGGATAGAGCGTCGGCCTGCGGACTCAAGGGTCCCCGGGTTCGATTCCGGTCAAGGACATGTACCTTGGTTGCAGGCACATCCCCAGGAGGAGGTGAGCAAGAGGCAGCTGATCAATAATTCTCTCATTGATGTTTCTAACTCTGTCCCTCTCCCTCTCTGTAAAAAAAATCAATAAAATATATTAAAAAAAGAAAAGAAAATGCAATACAGAGCTGAGGGGCTGTTACCTTCGAGGAAAGTGAGAGGGAAAGGTGGGTTCTGAAGAACCTCCTGCCTCATGACCACTGCTTCTGGCTCCACCCAATCCTGAGAGGGTCTCACACTGGACCTTTCCTCTTCCCACCCCAAACCCTCCATTCCTGTGTCTGCAGGTGTGTAGCGCACAGGTTTGCTCACCCAAACGGTGTGTCTGCTGCCTCCTCCCAGGGTGCCTGCTTTGAGATGCGTTACACATGTGTGCTCCCACATGTGTGCTCCCACAGGGCCGGAACCCAGGAATCCAGCCTCCCCGACTAGAGAGTTCTCAGAGGGAGAGGGAGAACGGGGTGGCGGTCTAAGTGGGGGAAGGCTGCTGACCATGAAGCCCTGTCCCATGTGGAGGAGAGGGGGCTAGTGACAGGGCAGGGGATGGGGAGTCGGGAGTGGGCTCCAGTGGTCTAGCTGAGTCCAAGCGAGAACTTCCTCCGTGTGAGCCTGTTTCCTCTGGGAAGATGTGGCTGCTGCCATATCACAAGCCACCATTCCCTGGCCGCCTCCTGTAGGCCAGGCGCTCCTCAGCCTCCGCAGGACCACTGCTACCGCAGTCCCTGCGTGGCACGGTGGGGCGTGGTCACGGGTCCAACCCCAGGGATCTAGGGGCGTAGCCAAAAGCAACCCACTAGAAGCATGACAGCTCTTTCAAAACTCCTTGCTCACTCTTTAAATACCTACAAGGCTTGCATCATGCTGCATGACAATCCAAGTTTTATTATAAACTCTCCCACCTCCAAATCTTCAAATAAAATCCCAGGAAGGTGTATGTGCCATGTGCATTCAGCGGCACCACCCTATACTCTCTTCTCCCACTCTCAGTTTGAGAATCATGAGAATGATGCACACGGACAGCAAGTGCATGAGGTGGTGGCAGTACTGCTACTTTTAAAAAATATATTTTATTGATTTTTTACAGAAAGGAAGGGAGAGAGGGATAGAGAGTCAGAAACGTCAATGAGCTGCCTCCTGCACACCTCCCACTGGGGCTGTACCCACAATCAAGGTACATGCCCTTGACCGGAATTGAACCTGGGACCCTTCAGTCTGCAGGCCGATGCTCCATCCACTGAGCCAAACCGGCCAGGGCAGCATTGCTATTTTATAGGAAGAAATTGAGTCTCAAAGTGTTAGCATGCCCTCACTTCCTGCCTTCAGTCTCCCAGGCCCTGGTTTAAGCTATCTCCCAGCCCTATGTTCCAATTGCCCCAGCAAGTTCCAAAGTCCATGCTACCACCCCTTTGGGGGAAATGGGACCCCACGCTAGAAAGAGCTGTGTACTAGGTGGAGCAATTTGCAGCCACAGAGTGGTGTGCCTTGATCGCTGGGGAAACATTACTATCTGCCAGGAGGCCCCTCTCTGTTGGCTGAATGCCTTCAGCCAAAAGAATGAGGTTACTTGTGGGGCTTGAGGCAACTTTAGGGGCCTACTGGCAGACGGTGGGGGGCAGTGGGACCAGAATGGAGTTAATCAGAGGGAACAGCTATTTCTGTAGCCACCCCAGTAGAAGGGGGAATCAGCCTTGTGTCAAATGAGGTGGGAGAACGGCACTATTCTTTCCTCTGCGATCCTGTGGGGGCAGGGAGTGGGGCTGAAGATAGAGGTGGAGCTGGTAGAAGAGGACTTAGCACCTGCAGTCCAGGACTACTGCCACTTGGTTGATATGTGATAACACAGCATCAACTTGCTCCCAAGATGATGTAAAATTGGAGCATCATCTACCCTCACCACCACAATTATGAGAGGATCAAAGACAAAGGCTGGTTTTAGTCATGCAGGTTAATATCTAGCATGTCATCTGAGCCCTCCCAGCACCTCCTCAGGTGGTATGACAGGACTTAGCTCCCCTGCCAGTAATGGTGTGTTCAAACATGGAAGGAGTTGATACAAGTGTCATGGAACTCATTGCCGTCTTCCATTGTAAGGAGCTACCTGGTACCTCCCCCAGGACATAATGCATATAAGTCTGCCCTGGCCAGGTGGCTCAGTTGGTTGTAGCAACATCACATACACCAAAAGGTTGCAGGTTTGACACCCAGTCAGGGTGCATACAGGAGGCAACCTGTGTTTCTTTCTCACATCCATGTCTGTCTGTCTGTTTCTCTCTCTCTCAAAAAAAAAAAAAAAAATCACTAGCCGAAACCAGTTTGGCTCAGGGGATAGAGCGTCAGCCTGCAGATTGAAAGGTCCCGGGTTTGATTCCAGTTAAGGGCATGTACCTTGGTTGTGGGCACATCCCCAGTGGGGGTTGTGCAAGAGGCAGCTGATGATTCTCTTTCATCGATGTTTCTAACTCTCCATCCCTCTCTCTTCCTTTCTGTAAAAAATCAATAAAATATATATTTTAAAAACTCACTAAAAACATATCCTGCCCTGCTGGCATGGCTCAGTGGTTGAGCGTCAATAGATAAACCAGTAGGTCACAGGTTTGACCCCCCAGTCAGGGCACATGCCAATTGGTGGGCTTAAGCCCCAATCGGGGGCACGCAGGAGGCAGCCAATCAATGGTTCTCTCTCATCATTGATGTTTCTATCTCTCCCTTTCCCTTCCTCTCTGAAATCAATATATATATATGAAGCATGCGAAACATTCTTGGGTGGGTGGGTGATGATTTGGTACATGATCAACAGCAGGGAAGATATTTTTTAGCATGTTAGGCTTTTACTGTATGTGTCTCAGAAAGCAGATTTATTATGTTACAAAGTGAAATCTACCTGAAAAGAGGGCCAAAGCACCATCCTCTGGCCCAGCCTACTCCCCACAGAAGACTGGGAAACCACAACTCATGTTGGGGCAAAAGCCCATGAGACTGACCCATGTCTTTTTTTTTTTTTTTTTTTTAATATATTTTATTGATTTTTTACAGAGAGGAAGGGAGAGAGATAGAGAGCTAGAAACATCGACCAGCTGCCTCTTGCACACCCCCTACTGGGGATGTGCCTGCAACCAAGGTACATGCCCTTGACTGGAATCGAACCTGGGACCTTTCAGTCCGCAGACCGACGCTCTACCGCTGAGCCAAACCGGGTTTCGGCTGACCCATGTCTTTAAGGAAGTCACAGGAGGACCCTCTGACAATTCCTCACTCCTGGAGCTGTATTAGGAGCATCTCTCTCTGGGCAGGGCTTTGCTAGACACACCTTCAACTGGCCTTTATCTAAGCTCTGTTTGGAAGCCCAGAGGATTCCTGCTTCTTATGTCTTATCAGTACTCAGCTCAGTGTATCTTCTGCCAGAATGGACCCTTTGCTCTGCCTTTGGTAATCATCCTCATCCTCCCTGCCTCCCACTCCCTGCCTCCAGCCATTCAGTCATTGGCTGAAGCTCTCTGCCAGCCCAACCCCCTCCCGGTATTGCCACTGTCCTATCAAACTAGCACTCCCCGTGGTAGTGGTGGTGAAAGCAATCAGTTTAAATTTATAAAATCATTTGCACTAAGGTATAAGTGACCCACGACTTCCCCTTCCCCAGGGCATTAACTTTATAAATGGGAAGTCAGTTAACCTAAATTCTGCTCTATAATTAGTGAAAAGTGAAGTGTGGGAGTTCTGGGCCCAGGACAGGACGGCATCCAGGTCTCCTTACCGATCCTGGAGCACCGAGAGAAGAGAAACAAACGATCAGGAGCCACCCTCTCTTCTGCTAGAGCAACACCCCAAAACTGTGTTACGAGGCGGGGGAAGGCCTAAGAATACACTCATGGCAGCTGCCCTTGGGGGTAGGCCCCTAACTCCCCCTCCCCTCGCCTGTATAGGTTTCCCTGACTGTTCCCTATATGGGAGGAAAGGCCCAGGGAGAGAGGGAGGCTGTCCAGCCCCAACTACCCTGCGGGGAGCAAGGCCTCCAGGCTCTTGGGGGATCCTAGGAGGAGAAGGGGAAGGACGCATGTGCCAGGCAGAGGCAAGGTAGTCTTCCCGGCCTCCTGCTCTGGCTGCTCCGGTGCCTGCCCAGGCCTAACGGCAAGGGGCTGGCGCCCGCGAGCTCCTAAGCTCTGCCACCGAGCCCTTCTCCCCGGGGCATCCTTAAGGCCAGCAGCTCGAGGGCTCTGCTCCTGCCCGGGGAAGCCCGAAGGCAGCCTGGCGGGCGCGCCGCGCCGCTCCCACCGGCCGCGAGGCAAAGTCCGCGCCGGGCCCTTCCACGCGGACGCAGGAGGCCTCTGTCAACAGCCCCCGCTTATCTGCCGCCGCCGTGGCTGTTTGCCTTCGGGGAGGCCCGGCGGCTGGGGGTTGGGAGGCCCGGGAGACGCAGCCTTGGAGCTGGAAGGGCCTTGGAGAGGCCATCTGCTGCCGCTCCGTCCGGGCGGGGGAGGCGGCCAGGCGCCCGGGGCGCAGCGGGGACGCCCCCGAGTGCGGGCGGCCGCGGCCCACGGGGCTCCTGGGCTGGGGCCGCGGGACGCTCCGCCCACGGCCGTTGGAGAGAACAGGGCTGCCCCCGTGGGCCCGCCTCTCCGCTGTCACGGACGGAGCGGGGAGCCGTGGGCCGAGGAGGCGGGAGGGAGGAGACCTCTCCCGGCCCCACAGTCCGCCTCCTCGGAACCCCGGGCGGCACCGCCTCCCGCTGGGGCCGGGGCTGCACCAGAGAGGGACTCCCCGCACCTACCTACCCGGCAGCGGGTGTGTCCTATTCTGAGACACTTTTTTGTTTTTTATTTCGTGTCACAAACCACGCCACCCTCTGGGAACTGTGAGTCTCAGGGGGTAAGCAATGCAGTGGTTAGCGCCTCCCGCCTCTCCCAGTCCCTGCGCGGGCCCCGCTGCGGAGCCGGAGCCGGGAGCCGCGGGGCGCCCTCCGCCTCGCCCTCCGCCGCAGGGCCGCTTGCATAACGCGGATCTGGAGCAGCTCCTCGGCGCCGCCGGAGTTATTTAAAGTATTTGCCTCCGTTTGAACAAGGGGCGCAGGACGGCTCTCCGGGGCGCGGCACATCCCGGGGCGGCAGCACCCGGAGGACCTCCCCGCACCCCGGCCCGGAGTACTCGAGGGTCAGACCGGGCCTCCGACACGAGGGGCGGCGACCCACAGGCGATCACGCCCCCTCGGCCTCAGTTTCCCCTCCCGCGGCCGCCATCGGGAGCAGGGAGCCGGGAGCCGGGGAGGCGGCCCCCCGCCCCGCGCCCCTCCTTCCCGCGTCCGCGCCGGGTGCGGGCGCCGGAGCAGACGGCGGCTCCGCTGAGCCTGGAGCGCGCTCCCTCCCACTCGGAGGGAAACCGTGGCAACGGCGGGGGCGCGGCCGCGGCGCGGAGAGGGGGCGGCGGGAGGGAGCGGCTCTGCGGCCCCCTCCCCCCGAGAATGCGCGGGGCCGGCCAGGCCCTCCGAGCTCTCCAGTCCCCCCGCGGCCCGCAGGCCCGGACCCCGCTCCCGCCCCCCGGTCCCCGCGGCCGGGCAGATCCTCCGCGCTCGCCTCCTTAGACGCCCCGGACCCGGCCCGCGAGCCGCCCGTGGAAAAGGGGGTACAGATTGCCCAGCGGGAGGCCCCCCTCCGGCCCCTGCGCCCCCCGGGCAGGAGGACCGGCCCCGGGCGGGGGACCTCGGGCCGGAGTCGGACCTGCGAGCGCGGAGCTGGCCCCACGCGCCCGGCCCCGCCCCGCGGCCGTACCTGGCCCGCGTCCTCGCCCGCGTCCAGCTGCACGTTGCCGCGGCTGCGGCTCTCGCTGTCGCTCAGCAGGTCGTCCTCCGAGTCCTCGGGCAGCGACGAGGAGCCGGTGGAGGAGAGCGACGAGGTGGAGAGGCGGCGCGGCTGCTGCAGGTGCGCGGAGCCGGCGGCCGGGAGCCAGGCGCCCTCCGGCCCGGGCGGCCCGGGGCTGGGCGGGGGGTCCGGCTCCTCGGCGGTCACCGTCAGCTGCGGGATCACCGGGGCCGGGGGCGCGCGCGGGAGCCCGTTGGGGACCTGCCCGCCTCGCCGCTTGGCGCCGCGGGCCCGGGGCTGCCCGGCGGCGGCGGCGGCGGCGGCGGCGGCACAGCGCGCCTCGAACAGCAGGCGCAGCTCCCCGACGCTCCGGCGCGGGGCCCGCTCCAGCCCGGGGCTGCAGGGCGCCCCGCCGCCCGGCCCGGCCATGGCCGTCGGGCCCCCGGGCAGGGTCATCGCCCGGCTCGGGATCCGCGGCGGCGCCCACCAGCCCGCGGCGCGGCGGGGACTGAGACGCCGGGCGCCCCGGGCGGGAGCTGCCCGAGGCGGAGCCTGCGCCGCCCGCCCGCGCCCCGCCCCGGCCGCGCCCCCCGCCCCTCCTTTCACTTTCCCGGAAAGCGCGGGCCTCCCGGGCCCCGGCGGCGGAGAGGTCTCCCCGCGCGGCTCCGGGGCCTGGGCAGCCCGGCCCTCGCGGCCTCTGTCCGCCCGTCCGTCCCAGAGGAGACGGGAGGGGCCGCTGCACCCCCAAGTCCTCCCTCCTTTCCGCGTTCCATCCACCCGGTCTCCGGTTCCCTCCTCCCGCGCCCCTTCGGCACAGAGTTCAAGGCCATGGGTTTTGCCAAGAGCCTCACCCCAGGGCGTGCGGCCGCCCGGGTGGAAACTTGGTCCCAGGAAGAGCCGAGACTCCGGCCCTCAAACTCCGGGCGGGCGGAGGGCAGGGCCGGGGCGGGGCCTGGCTCCTCCACGTGCCGGGCCCTGTCGGCGGGTCCCGGGCCCTGTCGGCGGGTCCCGGGCTGGCTGGTGAGGTCCGCGCGCCCCTCTGCCCCTTCCCTCCTGTATGTAGTCTGCGGCTTGGAGTCCGCCGTGTGGCTGTGAGCAAGTCATTTCCTCTCCTTGAGCTGCTGATTCTCCTCCTCAAGGTTGCTGTCCACCTCACGGGATTGCTGTCAGAATAAAATAAAGTGGAAGGTGTGAGACCTCTAAGACGTCAGAATGGTTTTGGTGTGGGTGGTGGAAAGAGCCAGTCTCAGGTTCACCTCCCTCTGCATGTGACGGGGAAAACCTCACGGACGCACAGAGTTGGGCTGGGAGGCTGGAAGACTGGGGATGGCGGTGAAGTGTTCCATGCACTGCCATGTGCTCCTGGGTGGCGTCTCTGTGGTGGGTCATTGGCCACTTCACACGTTAGGGGTCAGTTAACTGCAAGGCTACTGAGTAGCATTCAGTATCTCATAGCCTTTGCTGTCTTCCCCCAAATGCCACAGTGAGGATCTCTCACCCGGTGCCTGGTGCCTGTTTGGGGCTGTGAGGGGTGAGGTTCCAGGCTGCCCCTGGTGCTGATGGACCAATGGAGGAGTTTCCTTTCGGTATCTCCCTCAGGCAGCCAGGGTTTAAGGACTGCCCCCAGGAGAGAAAAGGAGGGCCCAGAGGAAGAACGGGAACCTTCAGCAAAGAAGAAAGATCTTGGGGAGATTGATGAAGAAGGAGTGGGAGGGGAAGGGAGGAGGAGAAACTGAGGAAATAAGTGAGAGAAAGAAGAAAATAACAGGAATCCTCTGTGGAGAACCTGGAAAATCAGCAGGATGCCCTCTCTGAGGCACAGAGTCTGGAGGACCTGGGTGAGGGGTGAGGGGTGAGGGGTGTGCTATAGAGCTTGAAGTCTAAAAACACCCACATCTCCTGGACTCACTCCTCTCCCTCTGTTGGAGCTGCCCTGGTCTGTGGTGGCAGCTGGGAAGGGACTGCCTCAGACGGGGCCTGGGGACAAAGCCAGCATGGGGAGAGCATGTCAGGATTGGAAAGATGGGCTCTGTGCCTGTCAATCAGATCTGAAGGCCACCCGCTCCCAGGGGGTAATTAGAGGACAGAGGGACAATTAGAGGAAGGAGCGGGGTGGGACTGGGTCCTGTCTGGCTGCCGAGAGCAAACTCAGGGGCAATTTCCTTTCTGCTGGTATCAGGCCCACAGCCCAGGGAGAGCTCTTTGCCCATGGCTGCCCAGGTGCCCCTCACTGGAAAGGTACGGGCAAACCTGGGGATGGGTTTGAAATGAGAGCTAACTTCGTAGACGTTTAGAGTGGAAAGGACCTTTAGCTGCAGTCTAATCTCACAACACAGAAGGAACAAAAAGGTGAAGGCACTTCTCCCACAGCCAGCTGGTGGAAAACCCAGAGTGCATTTGACTAGGTCCCCTGGCTGCTGTTCCCGTGCTGTGTTCAGTATCTTTCAGTAACAGCTGGTGGTTTTGTTCCTAGCTTACCTAGTGAAAGGAGAGTCTGCTTCTCCCTAACCACAGGCAAAAGCAGAAGGGCATATATTGGGGCAGGGCCTGAGGGTCCCAATATCGTTGTAGACAAGGTCAAGGGGCTCTCATGTCTTTTTCTTTCTTTTTTTTAAAAATATATTTTATTGATTTTTTTACAGAGAGGAGGAGAGAGGGACAGAGAGCCAGAAACGTCAATGAGAGAGAACATCAACCAGCTGCCTGCCTCCTGCACACCTCCTACCGGGGATGTGCCCGCAACCAATGTACATGCCCTTGACCGGAATCGAACCCGGGACCCTTCAGTCCGCAGGCCGATGCTCTGCCACTGAGCCAAACTGGTTTCGGCTCTCATGTCTTCTTAGTGGAGCCAAGAATGACCTTTCAAATCCTGGGATCTTGTTCTTGGTGCCTCAGTTTTCCCAGTCCTTCAGGTCATGAGTAAACGGATGTGAGTAGAAGGATGTAGAGAAAACAAGATTACTATGTAGATGGAGAAATGGCCTCTGTTCTGCAAAAAAACAAAAAATAAAATGGGGGGAAACGGAGGCCTAGAAGAACGTTTCGAGGTTTTAATGGTCATTAGGTGGCTGATCTGAGATGGGTCACGAGAGTCCCTCTGCCTTACAATACGGTAAGCATGTCGGAGGGAAGAACTGGTTTTCCTTCTGTGGCATCTCATTCAGGATCCTTCTGTGCCCTAGGAGCCTGCACTTGGTGTGTCTGAGTTTTCATGGCTCTCCATGGCCTTCAGAACTTATCTGGTCTGAGGGCTACGCTCTCCCAGGGGGTAACGGCCAGAGCAGAAAAGGCGGGAAAGCCTGGGAAATGGGACTGGGAGGTGAGGGGTTCCTGGGATCTTGGTGTTATTCCCCCACCTACCTGATTTAGCACTGCCCCTCCCCTCCCCGCTCCTCCCCCAGGGCAGCACAGTGGCTCCAATGACAGAAGCAAAGTCAATGCTCACCATCCCTTGCCAGGCACAGTGCCCGTTTTTTTTGCTTCCTAAGACCAACAAGCAGGGCCTCTCAACCTGGGAGAAAGGATGGAGGAGAGCCTCTGACCTGGCCAGCGTTCCTGAGTGGGCGGTCTGTTGCTTTGAGATTTGAAGGCCTCTCTAGCGAGAGCTAAGCCTTTATGGTGTGTGCGTGTGTGTGTGTGTGTGTGTGCACGTGTGTGTGTTGGGAGTGGGCAGAAGGAGTGGCAGGAAACCTTTCTCTAGGCCAGGTGATAATACAGGGTCTCATGCTAGTCAGCAACTCCCAGGCAAGCTCTGTGGGGCTTGGTGTCCTCCAAGGGGCTAAGTCCAAGATTCCAAGATTCTGTGACGAGCCCTGTGATTCATTCAGTCACTCACAGAGCAAACAGACTTCCACTGAACAGCTGCTACGCACCAGGCCCTGTGCTAGGTGAAAGGAATACAGACATGAGTAACTCCCGTGAGGACTCCCTCCTTCCTGGGAGTGGTGGCGTATAAAGGAAAACAGAAAGGACCCAACCGGAACACAAGCCCCAAGATGCCAAATGGCCGCGTTTACTGTTTCCGAGGGACTGTCAAGGAGACCCTGGTTTTTCAGAGGCTTCACGCAATTCCCCTCTCCCGTCAATCAGACGCCCTTCTCTGGTGAAGGATGCCAAAGAGGGTGCTGAGGGCTGGCCCGGCGGGGGCCCAGTGGAGACCTGGGGTGTGGCAGGATTGGGGTGTTCCTCCTGGGGAGAGGGAGCTAGTGGCTGTCTCCCATGGGCAGCCCCAGACCCTTTTCTTTGCCTCTGGATTCCTCCTCCTCCCCTGCCATCCACCTCTGGCCCCATCAGTGAGAGACTTCCTGGGAATATTGTGGAATTAGAGCTAGGATAGGTTAGAGTTCAGCAGAACTAGCAGTAGCAGCCTTCGCTGACCCTCCACCCTCTGAATCGCTCTCCTCTAAAGCCAACAAAATGTGTCACCACGCCTGTGTGTGCGCAACAAGAACATCTCTCCTGACATATTTCAGAAACAAGGTTTCCCGTCTCTCCCAGGAGCCTGTGTTCCCGTGTTTCTCTCTCCTCGCTCTCCAGAACTCGCAGAAACTCTCCCAGTGGCCAAGGGAAGGGAGTAGCTGAGGTCAGGGGTGGGGCTGCTGGTATGGACGGAGGCAACTAACTGCTCTAAGGCCCGGGGTGTGTTAGGCTCTGTCCCCCATGCCCCCCTCCTGTAACTGCGGGGTGGGCGGGCGCACCCCCTCATTACGTTTGCCATGCCTCTGCCTGCAGCGTGACCTCTGCCCCCAGTGCGCAGCGAGCAGTCCACGGAGCACCGGGTGCCCGCCCCCCCCCACCCCCATAGAGGCCCCACACCTCCCCAAAGCAACAGGCCGCCCACTCTGGAGCGCTGCCAGGTCAGAGGCTGCGCTCCGTCCTTCCTCCCCGGAGGGGAGGCCCTGCCTGTTGGTCTTCGGAAGCAAAAAACGGGCCCCGCGCGCGCCCCAGCAGCTCCGGAACGCGGAGGCCTCCACACCCCCTCCCGCCGGGAAGCGGCGGGCGCGCCCCCGCCGGCCCCGCGCCCCAGGCGCCAGAGCGCGCACGTGCGGCCGGGCGTTGGGCTCCAGAGGCGCGCGCGGCGGGGCTGCCGGCCTGTCGGGTCCGTCGGGGCCGCGGCGCGGCAGCCGGTACCAGGCGGTTCCAAACAGCGGCCGTGGGTCGGACCCGCAGGGCGGACGCCCTGGGCTTCTCCCGGGGCCGGGGCCGGGCCGCTGGGTCTCATTTCCCCGTGCGCTGCGGTCTGGGGGCGAGAAAGGAGCGGGGGGGGGGGGTCCTAGGCTTCCAACGGCGGCTGCGGCCGGGGTCCACGTGCTGCCCCCGCCCCCCTCCCTCCAGGTTCACTGGGCGTCAGCCCGGTGCCAGGCCGCGCCGGGGCTGGAGCTGCTAATTCCGCAGCTTCCAGGCCGGGGTGGGTGAGGGGCGGGGCTCAGGTGAGCGCCGGGGGCAGCCGGGGCGGGCGGCCTCCTGGAGGCGGCGGCACTGAAGGGCGAGGAGTCCTCCTCCTGGGAAAATCGATGGGGGTACACCAGGGCGTTCCAGGAGAGGGGAATGTGCGTGTGGCCGCCACGCGATTAGCAAAGCGGGGCCATCGACAGCTAAAAGAGAATCATTATTTTATTTCTTAGGATCTGGTATTGGAGTATTTGAGATGTTGCTTCCCAGAAATTGTCATCAGTTTTGGCTCAAACAAGTTTATAAAATTAAGAAAAAAAAATTCTGGTATTTTGGAAGAAGGTATTGACGTAGTCATGGGAAGAACCGGAACTTTATTGGACTTATTTACACTTGTTTTTGTAAAAATAGATTTTTATTGATTTCAGAGAGGACGGGAGAGGGAGAGACAGAAACATCAATGATGGGAATCACCGACGGGCCTTTTACTGGAATGGAACCAGGGACCCTTCAGTCCGCAGGCCAATGCTCTCCCCACTGAGCCAAACCAGCTAAGGCCTGCTTTTATGTTTTAATTACGTTTGTATGGGGGGGGGGGGCAGTGGGACCTGTTTTCTGAGCCTGCTGGGGCTGTGGCTCAGTGGCAGCCTTCAGAGCCACTGCAGGCTGAGAGGGACGCTTTAAGACCTGCCGTCTGTAAAGGGGGGGCATATTGAGGGCTGGAGAGCAATTCTGCTTCCCCAGACTGTGTCCCAGGCCAGGCTGAGCGCCCACGTGTCGGTACCTGGAGGAAGAATTTCTTTTCCTCCTGACCCCGGCTGCCAGGAGTCTCTGGCAGAGCACTCCAGCTTCTGATCATTCCTCTGCTCTCCCCACCCCCCAAGCCGGCTGTTCTGTGGCTTCAGTCCCCTCCCTCACCCCGCAGCTCCCTCCCTCCATCCTGAGCCCCGACAGTCTGTCTTCCAAAGCCCAGTGGCCTTTCTATCGCTAACAACAGTATTTATTGAACCCCTAGTGGGGAAAGGAACATTTCATCTTTAATACGACTCTGGCATGTTTATTATTAAATATAGGAACTCTGTGTCCTGGAGGAGTTAACTAGCTCAGCCCTAGGTAGTAAGTGGCAGACCTGGGGTGTGAACCCTGCACCCACGTGCGTTGCAGCTCGGCTCTCCCTTGGGTCCAGAGCACTGGCTGAAAGCCTAACTGCCTTGGCAAGTGACCAAGCCGCTCTGCATAGCCAAGAAACTCCATCTCCTGGTTCTGCTCAGCCCACACTGGGGCTGGCCTGGCCTGGGGAACTTGACAGAGAGGCATTTATGAAAAAACTGAGCTGGGATCAGTCAGTGGCTTCCCAGCCCCGGAGAACTGCTGGACACTGCCACTCAGGATCACCCAAGGAAAGCCAATCCCGGCCAACCTCCTACCCCTCTCCCCTCTGCGTCCCACCCTCCACGGTGGTCAGCACGTGGCTGTTCCACCGCACCAGATGGGAGATGAAGGGCCTCGCTGCCCTTGGCTCAAATCCCTGCTCTAGGGCCCAGGGAGCCCACTGCCCCCGACAGTCAGGAGTTGGAGTAAACCCTCTTTGGACTAAGTTGCTGGGTGAACCAGCTCTTCCAATACTAGAGGTAGTTTGCTTCCTGGGGAGAACAAGGTCAGAAAGACCTGAGACACAGCCCAGCCTCGGGCAGTGGGTGTCCGGTGCCCTTGCACATCTTCCTGGCTTGGGGGCTCGGAGTGAAGGTTGTCAGCATTTCCTTCAGGGCCACACAGGTGCCCCAGGTTCCCCTTCACAAAAAAACAGAACAGCAAAGGAATGCTCCTAGGCCCACTGAAAGCTCTGCTCACTAAGGTTAGGTAGGGGCCTACCCAGCTCTGTCCAAGTGCAGTGTATCTTCTGAGATAGGAAGTAAATCAGGCCAATGGAAGGTCACCCTGGCTCTAGACAGCCGCCATCCCAGAGAGGCGTCTGGGGAACCAGGCTGCTGAAGAGCTGGAAACAGCCACTTTCATTTGGGGGCAAACAGGACTGCGAGAAAGGAGAGAAAGCAAGAGAGGCTCTCATGGATTTTCAAAACACGACTTTGAGAGTTGCCATTCAGGATGCAATCTGTGGACTAAATCCGATCCTTTTGTTAAAACGGCATAAAATTTATTTACAAATATCTGTACAGTTTGTGTGACAGGTCAGGATTTCACAACAGAAACAAAGAAAACAAAAGCATTCTTCTTCAAGGGAAGTTACAGGCGTAGACTTTCCCTGCACCTGTCAGAAGCAAGACAGACAAACAGACCTATACATCATGAGTTAGGCATATGGACACTGGCCTTTTTGCTTCTTGGAAGGAAGTGAAAAATGTATAAAACAGCCTTAGGTACTGCACCCATCAACACTGAAACCACTTTGGGGGGGAGGGATAGAAGTGGGGTGTGGAGCGGGGGGCCCTGCAGCAATTCCCCAGAACAAGAAAACAAGAAACACTGTGAACCACCAAAAAGCCCAGCTGATTCTATAATTTCATATCTTATGCCTGGGTAGGATTTCAGTTCAGAGGCCCTGCCTTAGGTGAGACTGGAGCCAAGTCCTCAGTCTTGATTGCAATCACCAAGTGGGCTACTCGGTGACGAGTTAACTTTCGGTCTTCTTTGGTAGGCTTTCTCCCTGCTATTTTGGCGTCTCAGAATGAAAGTTTCAGCAGCTGCATGTGGGGAGGTAGTGGTGAAGTGGCTACAGTGTGATGCAGTTTTAATAAAAATTTTATTACACAGCCATATGTAATTGACACTTCTCCAAATCCAAATGATATTAAATACAGATCTACATGGTGAATCAGAACGACTCCAGCAAATTCTTCAGATTCTATAATTTCGTGTCTTTTAAAACCAGGAAAGAGAAAAAAAATCCAAGTTAGTCATGATAGGAGAGGTCCCAGCAGCCTCCGGGACCCTGCTGGAGTCCAGGCAACATTTAACAGTCTGTGATTCCACATTTATACAATAGTCTATAAAGGGTTCTGGTCAATGGACTATTCAAGTATATATGATTTTAATGAGTCCATCACCACTCCTTTGCCCAACTGAACTGTGTCACAGCTACCATATAGCTGTGTAACAGTTATATTTATCAATTTTATAGTCACAATACTTTTTAAAAACCATTCATTACTGCATTTTTTAAAAATAAAAAAGTGTAAACTAAGTTAAAGCAATGCTGAGGCTCTACTAAACCCAGAAGAGTTATTAGCAAGTTCATTTTTATGTTTAAATACAACATAACTTCATGATTTCCCATCACCTCCCCTCTTTACAGAAAAGTAGAGAAGAAATACAAAGTAGAGCTTCTAACTACGGTAGATTTCCTCTCCCATGGGAATCAGCAGCTCTCAGCTGTTTCTTTAGCTCAGTTCTTGGTATATATAGACAGCTGTACTTTGTTCTGAAAAGATTTGTTAAATGCCACTTTTATTTACACTTGGAGCTTTACACCTGAGAATGATTATCAAGCAGTCAGCTTATCTCTTTTCAAACATTTCATAAAGACATACACACTTCTTTGCTGGCTTCACCCTAGCTGCACAATATACAGTATATATGTATACACACACACATATATGTATACACACACAAAACTGCACATGCTTGTAACATTTGCAACCTAAATCTTTTTGTGTTCTTTCTCTCCACATCATGTTAAATACTTTCTCTTAAAAACAAAATATTATTCTTACTGAAACAGCAAAACAGAATCACTAGAAAAAGAGACCAGTACATGGGGTGGGAAGATTCTGTACCCGTGGGGTGAGCAGGACACCTGCACTGCCCTCCCTGGGACGTGGCCGTGGCTTCCCTCCCGCCTGCCAGGGCACAGCCTACGGGGAAGGGGCCTGATGGAGGAGTTTTCCTCAAGGTGGGAGGCGATGAGGAAGAGATGGGGAAGGGGAAGTTACACAGCTACAGCAGTCAGGCCAGTTAATTAAGAAGAATCACATTTAATGAGTTTCTTTCTTGCAGTTTCAGATGCTCAAGTACAGCTGAAAAAAAATCTGAAACGGCTATAGACCCATGACAGACTGATACAAAGAGTACTGCATTTTAAAAAAATGATAAAAAAAAATTCACACACTTGCAGACACACACACACACACACACACACACACACACATACACACACACACTCTCTCTCTCTCTCTCTCCCTCTCAATCGACCCCCCCCTCCCTCCCCACAAATGTACACTTTTTTTTTGAAACTAAATTGATTTTGAAAACCCCTCTTCCACAGAGATGGGAAGAAGAAAGACGAGGAGAGAGGATGGAGGAGTGTAGGTGCCCGAACCTACTCCCTCCGCAAGGGCCAGGTTCCAAATGTGCATGTTTGGGTCAGTGCAGTCTAGAGAGCAGACTGCGCAGTGCTGCTGCTATCACCACAGGGGCTCCAGCAAGAATCCCAGCCTCACGTAATACTGAATGCGTGCAGAGTGGCCAATGAACTGTGCTGGTAAAAAAAAAAAAAAAAAAAAAAAAGGCAAACACAAATCGAAAGACATGGATAAAGCCCAAGAGAGCCCAGGTCCCCACTGGGTGAGCCTGGGAGTGGGAAGGGTTGATGGAAGATGGTGCAGACAAGGGGAGTCTATACAGCAAATGGTTTATATTACAGATGACTGGCAGTTTAGAGTCTCTTCCCAGTTTCTACTGCTGCTCCAGCCCAAAGAGGGCACATCAAAGGCAGAGGAAGGTGGGACAGCGATGGGGCATGCAGGGTCAGAAGCAGCAGGCTGGGTGCACTCAAATAAGCCCCCGTCGTTTTTTGTAGTCTTCCAAGTTCAGAGATCTCCTTGGAGCCCCATCCTTGGCTGGTGGAGCTTTTGAGGTGATGGCCAAAGCCTTTGATTCTATGGGAAAGAAGAGCAAATTGGCAGCTGAGGTACCTACAAAGTAATGCTTTACTCCTACAGGTAGCCTTCTTGAATGTCCATCCTATTCCCTCTCCAAACATACCTGCAGCCTCTACAAATACGGAGGAGCAGAGCCCTCAGTTCTTCCCTAAATCAGGCTGCCTTGTCGGCCGAGAAGGCCATGGAGCTATCTGGTCCTTGGCCATTACCACTCCCACCCTCACGTACCTGAGCTGGGAACTTGTAAATCAATCTTCACATCGAAATCATGTACTTTAAACAAGTCTTCTGAGAGGTCATTGGCTGACTTAGAATTCAAATCTTTATCCTTTCCCTGACCCTGCAATGTGAAGAGGAAAACTAATTAGAAAAGCATAAATGTAAGTGGACTTCAAGCAAAATTAATGGGAAAAGCTCTTGGTCAAGTTTATTAGATCTTTCAATGAAGGCTCTTTTCTGATTCCTTTTCTCAGAGCACAGGAAGGAGGCCACAGATAAAGAGGTTTCTTTTCTGAAACTTAAAAGCAAAGAGGAGAGGGCAGGCTCATGGTGTGAGGGTAGAAAGATAGGCTTAAAACAGCCAACCTTCTGATCCAAGATTTCAGGAATTCCTGGCAGTTTGGGCTCTACAGGAAAAGATCTAACTTAGGCAGAAGTTAGAAAAGTGGTTCTCTTTTGGGCAGTTCCTCAGTTTAGATTTTTAGTTTTCAAAGAGCTTTCACTTTCATCATTGTCTGATCCCTATATGTTATTGCTCCTACTAATTTTCCTGTGAGGTAGGCAGGGTATAGAGTGTTATACGCATTGTACCTAAGAGAAAATGTGTATCAGGGGACTAGATGTCAGTTGCCTAAAGCTGCAGTGAAGGCCTTAAGCCTTTAAGTGGTGTTGGGTTAGAATTTAAATTATCTGACGAAAATTCAGCAGCTGTTTACCATATTTGTACATAACAGGGGAAGGAGAAAGAATGGTCAGTGGGACTTCATGTTCCTAGATGGGAAAATCAAGTCCAAACTAGGCAAGGTCCTGCCTGGTGTCCAGGCCAGCAGCCTCGCTCCACTGGCACAGGGGAGGCGGTGCTGCACTTACCTTGCTCATTTCCTTTGGAGCATCTGGTAACACTCCAGAACCATATTTTGCATTCAGCTGGGCCAAGATGGCAGCTTGAACAGCTGGGTCTCTGGACTGAGAGAGGAAATAAGATTATTCAACACTCGGACAGTCCTACTGAGATTCTTTCCTATCCACCATCATTAACATCACAGGCCACAGGGTTCCACCAGCAGCTTAGTGGGGTTTTCCTCAAGCCACGCCCAGTCTAGCCAGGTCTAGGTGGGTGACCCAGCCTACACATTTCTAAGTCTGAGGCACAGGGTGGTTTAGTCCATAGGTTTCTATAAACCTATGCCAGGCTTTTACCACCTGGATGGCCTATAGCAAGATAAAAAGGGAAGTATCCAGATCCAAGAGTCTGAGGCAAGCAAATCCCACTAAGACAACATTATTTTTAACTCATTTAATCATCTCCTAATGGAGCCCATTTTATGACCCAGAATGCAGGCCCTGAGTAAAAATGTCCTTGTTAGGCACTCACATTGGAAACGATAGTAGGTTTGCATTGCCGTCTGGTAAAGGGATCCATCTGTTGGTTTTTCATGTTGTGACTTTCAGCCTGAAACAGAAAGCATGTATTATAGGTCTATATCTCCTTTGCCCTCCTCTCATCATGAGCTCACATATAAATAACAGTCTTTGCAAGGGCCTGAAAATAGTCAAAGCTGTCTATCCCTCTTTTCCCCTCAAGAATACCAAAGCCAAAGTAGATATGGGGACAACCACGTAAGGAACAAAACTGGAAACAGATAAAAACAAATACCTGTGGAAGAATCTAAGGGTAGGGAAGGGATAAGCCAGAGCAGAAGACTGTTGCTTTTCATTATAAATTAACTAGAGGCCCAATGTACGAAATTTGTGCACGTGGGTGGGTGGGAGTCCCCTCAGCCTCTCCTGTGCCCTCTTGCAGTCCAGGAGCTCTTGGGGGATGTCCTACTGCTGGTTTAGGCTGGGGAGCAGGCCTGCTGGGGAGCAGGCCTAAGCCAGCAGTCGGACATCCTTAGCGCTCCCGAGGAGGTGGGAGAGGTTCCCACCACCACTGCTGTGCTTGCTAGCCATGAGCCTGGCTTCTGGCTGAGCTGCGCTCCCAGTGTGAGAGCACAATGACCACTGGGGGCAGGTCCTACATTGAGCGTCTGCCCCCTATTGGTCAGTGCGCATCATAGCAACCAGTCATTTTGCATAGTAGCCTTTTATTATATAGGATAAACTGAATGGTGTTTGTATATATACGTACAGAGCACATATGTGTTAACTAAACACATTATTTCAATAATTTAAAAATAAGCTCAATCCAGATGTAGAGAGTATTTCATATCATTTTACTAACTGAAATTATGTTGAGCGATCCAGATAAAGTTCTTACCACAAGGGCCTTCTCAGACTCCACAATGTTCCATTCCCGGTTCCGCTGGTTGATGTAACTAGGGAGTGATGAAGAGGAATGAGTCAGTGGGCTGTGAAGCAAGGAAGGGAACCACTGAGCTCTGACCTCAGAGAGACGAGAAGCCAGTGCAGCACAGCATATACAAGGATGTGGACCAAGGATAGGAACCCAATCAAAACAGGCTCTGTAACACACCTAATAGCAGATATGTTCTTGGTCCGCTGGCGGTCCAGGGCCTCTGCCCGCTCCTCCAGCTCATTCAGCTGGTCTTGGATTTGTTTGGCCTTGTCCTGATCCCCCAGGTCCTCAGCCATGGCCTGCACAATGAGGAAAGTGTGTGATTTTGGCTATAATTTGTATCACGTGTCCCCTGACTTCTAGCACAAGCAAGCTATCTTACGATATGAACAAATGTCAGATGTGAAATAATACTTAAAACTTATAGTAGTAACACGTTCCCATAGCTACCTGGCTCTGGGCCTCTGGTAGTATTAATGAAGAACTCAGGCTCTATATGTCTAACTCACTCCAACAAGGTCACCCTATTCTGATGGGAAGAAGGAAAACCACCTACTGCAGCTGGGCGTGGCAATACAATTCATCTACTCAGACCCAGACTGATGCTGCCCTAGGGTCTATCTGATCATACATGAAACTGGAGTGATTAGAAAGTAAGAAAAAAAGAAGAAGCAAGGTCAATTTCCATTCCTAGAAAGGAAAATCCTGCCCCTGCTTACTCGCCAGGGTGAACAAGTCTGATTCTCACGTATCCTCGGAGGACAGGGAGAGAGGTCTGGGAGAAGTCCTTACCTTTTCCTTTAGCAGCTGCGTCTTCTTCATGGCATAGTTAGGTGGAGCTTTCCTGAACCTTTCTTTCTCTTTTACAATCTGTACCAGAGAGGAGATACCAGCAGTGAGGTATTCCTAATCTATTTTTGGAGAGGCTAAGTGAGCCCATTTTGGAGGCAAGCAGCTAGTTAAAAGGGGGCTGCTCTTCCTACAGCAGTGTCTGCCCCAGAGAGAGCGAGTTCATTCCAAGGGATACTATGCTGCATCCGGGGTCACGGAGGTTCTTCCGGGACAGTCTGAAGGAACATGCACCAATAAACAGCAGCAGCCCAGAGGCCTGGTATTGTAAGGCTAGCCACTGTCCAAGAGAACAGAGATCAAAGAATTTTACCAAAATATTTTGGAGGAAAAAAAACTCTTGAAGGATCAACCCTAGCAGAATACAGATTCCTGGACCCTGAATACCCTTCTATAATCTATGACTTCAAATGAGAATATATAGAAAAAACTCAGATAAACTGTAAACACCAAGACGGCAATATCAGCATTGCCTCATCCTCATGTAATAACAGCACAGCTAAAAACACCAAGATGTGAGGAAGGGAGCTCTAGCCAGTTTGGCTCAGTGGATAGGGTGTCGGCATGCAGACTGAAGGGTCCCACGTTGGATTCCAGTCAAAGGCATGACTCCTCCCCAGCTGGGCCCTCATTGGGGTGCATGCAGGAGGCAACCAATTGATGTGTTTTTCTTATATCAATATTTCTGTCTTTCCCTCTCTCTTCCACTCTCTCTAAAAATCAATGGAAAAAATCCTTGGGTGAGAATAAAAATAAAAAAAAGATGTAAGGAGGGGAAAGTCATGCTCTTCCTTAACATTGGTTCTTGATGAACCTCTAGGCTCTGAAATACCAGTTTTCTTACCTCTTCAATGTCTTGATCATTGAATTTATAATTAAGAGCTTCTTTAATAGACAACTCCTTCTTATTGATTTCATCTAGAGTGGGCAACTGCATGCCGGCAGAGAACATCTGGACCACAAAACATGATAAAAAAGTTACATAATAAGTGATTTTGGAAAGAAACACTGTAACTGTTTTCAGGAACAGCTAGATGTTGTCTTCCCACTTACCGCTTCTTTCCACTTCATGAATTCGCTTTCAGTGAATTCTTGGTTTGAGACAAACTCTAGGCGGAATACCCGTTGGTCATTGCCGTGCCTACATAAAAAAGAGACAGCATCTCCAAGAATATGTTGAAAAGTACCAGCAAAGCAACCCTACTGGACTCTGTACCATCTATTTCTGTGGTTCTCAATCCTGGCTACGCTTTAGCATTATCAAGATTTATAAAAATTCCAGTGTCAAAGCACCTTTGTAGATAAACTGAATAAAAACCTCTGGGTGTAGGAACCAGGCACTGAAATTAACAAACAAAGCCAGCCTCCCAGGTTGCTGTAATGTGCAGCCAAGATTAAGACTCAGCCCAGGCCGAGACCGGTTTGGCTCAGTGGATAGAGCGTCGGCTTGGGGACTGAAGGGTCCCGGATTCGATTCCGGTCAAGGGCATGTACCTTGGTTGCGGGCATATCCCCGGTGGGGTGTGTGCAAGAGGCAGCTGATCGATGACTCTCTCTCATTGATGTTTCTAACTCTGTATCTCTCTCCCTTCCTCTCTGTACAATATCAATAAAAAATATATATATATATAAAAAAAAAGGAATCAGCCCAGCTGGCGTGCCTCAGTGGTTGAGTGTTGATTTATGAACCAGGAGGTGTTTTGGTTTGATTCCAAGTCAGGGCACATGCCTGGGTTGCAGGCTTGATCCCCAGTAAGGGGAGTGCAGGAGGAAGTTGATCAAGGATTCTCTCTCATCACTGATGTTTCTCTCTCTCTCTCCCCCTCTTTCTTCCTCTCTGAAATCAATAAAAATAAAAAATAAATTAAAAAAAAGAAAGCTATGAATTTGGCCTGATACTTCAAAAGTCCATTTATAATAAAACTTGTCACAGTCTACTGGCCTCCAGAATATGAAATACCGTGTACATATCTGAATGACAAGGAAGCTATTCCCTAGAGAGGAAGAACACTATCTTTCTACTGACACCTGTGCTGACAAAGTCAGTGCCATTCTCCTGGAGACAGTCCCTTGCTGCACATCATGGCCGCTGTCCTCCCTAATGGGTTCTTTTCACACAGACCAGGGGAGATAGGGGATAGGAGAAGGAATGGGGAGGCCCACAGAGAGCAAGCCAGGCCACAGTAGAGCGATGTCTATCACTGCTATGTGCAGTGTTTCTGACAAACTACTTCTAGACCAATGAAGGACTTTAGAATCTTCAGGAGCCAAGAGGGCCGGGATCTGTGTGTGTGTTTTGTTGTCACTGCTATCCTGATCCTCAGAACAATGGCACATAGCAGATACTCAGTAAATACCATGTTACTGAAAGGGAAACGAAGTCCAGAAAGGTGACCTGACTTGTCAAAGGTCCAGAGCCAGGTCCAGAAAGCAAGCCTCCTGACCATGCTTAGGAAATGCTTAGGGCTCTGGGAGGAGGGAATCTTACAACCTGACTTTTCACTTCTCCATGTCCTCCCACTTCATATCTCTGATTTCCCTAGGAGAGAGACATATATCCTCTTTTCCCTCCAGGCAACAGCATAATAAAAGTCCCAGAAAACCATCACATGGGAAAGAGTAACAGCCCCACAGGCAGTGCCTGTTTGCAATGGGAGCAGAAAAGGCCACACAGAAACCCCCCCTCCTACCGTAGCTGTAGCCCTTTGTTTGTCCTGGTGCCACCAAGCTGGTAAACCTTGGCGGTTTCCACAACACCCGTGATCTCAGCAACCTAGGAGAAAGGACAGAGACAATATTCAAAAACAGAGTCAGAGCTCTCACACCACTCTCTATGGCTCCACTTACAGACGAGTGACCCTGCGCTGAGAGGAGTCCACAGCTGCAAGGTGTCCTGGCACCTTTCTCCGGTTTAGAACTGACGGCCGGACACCAGGACCCCTGTGTGCAGGGTAAGCGAGCACCAGGGGAGGAGGCAGTTAGCCTGTGAGGCTCATGAGAAGCTTCCCCTCCAACTTAATCCTACCTTACTGGGGGAGGTACTTGGGATTTCAGAGGTCAGTTTTATCGATCAAATATGAAGATCATGGAGGTGAGTTCCCACTGCCAATCTTTCCTGGTAAGATATGTTAAATCCAAACAACCCAGAACAAATGGGACTAGAAGAGGGACAGATTTACGCGGTATCTCAGAGGGTAATTATATCTAAAACATGGACAACTGTCCCAGGAAAGAAACACCAACCCGGTAAACTGGTTTGCTGTTGTGGTTCCCAATGCCAATCCGTACAAAACAGCCGGTGACAGTTTTAGCGAAGAAGGGCATGTGACACCAACGTTCCAGCTTGTGCCGCGATAATCGAACCCGATTCAGTTCTTCGGGTAAGGACACTGGCTGTGATTTTGGAGGGATCTCTTCTTTCCTGTGAGGAACAAAGGGCACTGGGCAAAGTGTTCATCATACAAACTGATCCAGAGAAAACTTAACAAAATCAAAGGCACTAGAAGAAATAACTGAACCGACAGGAAAGAGTGGTACTAGAATCCTGTTCTTAACCAGTAGTGTGAACTGTTGCTAAGGCTGCCACCTTCCCACATAACCTATTAGAGTAAGAAAACAAATGGGCGCATCTGGCCAAAATGGGGGTGACACCTACTGAGCCCAAATGAAATGTTAAGTAAGGGCTTCAGGCCAATGTCCTGGGGAACCCAGCTCCGCGGTCCAGGGCACTGGACAAACAATAGTCAGAGACCAAACAGGGGAGTTTTGGAAACCACAATAAGCTTCTCCTCAGAGAACCCACCTGTCCTAACTACAGACCAAAATGTACACAAGCTTACTCTTCTTCTTCATCAGAGGACGACGTTCGGTCTGAGCGGTCTGACTTTTCACTGGATTTGTCATCCTCTTCCTCTTCCTCATCGTCAGAGTACACCTCACTGGTTTTTAATGGCTGTTTTTTGGCGAGGAGCTCAGCTAAAAAGAAAGGGAAAATGTTTATTTAGATTCTCTCAGTAAGAAAATGGAACATTTTTCATCTCTGAAAAAGAACTAACACTTGGGAATGACTTAATAGCTCCATCTGCTTGGACTGGATTGTGATGATTTGGATACATGAAGGAGTGAGGCCCTGGACAGTTTGGCTCAGTGGGTGGAGCATCGGCCTGTAGACTGAGGGTCACAGGTTCGAATACAATCAAGGGTATGTACCTCGGTTGCAGGCTCAATCCCCAGCCCTGGTCAGAGCGGATGCAGGAGGCAACCAGTTGATGTGTCTCTCACATCAGTGTTTTTCTCTGTCTCTCCCTTCCATTTTCTTAAAAAATAAATAAATAAATAAATAAATAAATAAATAAATAAATAGGAAAATATCCTTGGGTGAAGATTAATAAAACAAACAAACAGGAAAATAAACCAAAACAACAACAACAAATGAAATGAGTTACACACGAGACTTAAAATCATTTAGGCACTAAATGTCAAGCCTCAGTAGACACAAAAAGGTCTGGGGTACTGTTTCTAAGTGGGCAAAAAGGGTCACCAATTGTATTGACAATTGTTTTAAAAATATATTTTATTGATTTTTCACAGAAAGGAAGAGAGAGGGATAGAGAGATAGAAACATCGATGAGAGAGAATCATCGATCAGCTGCCTTTTGCACACCCCGCACTGGGGACGTGCCCGCAACCAAAGTACATGTCCTTGACCGGAATTGAACCCGGGACCCTTCAGTCCGCAGGCTGATGCTCTATCCACTGAGCCAAACCGGTTTCAGCTGACAACTGTTTTTTTTTATTGCACTTAAAATACCTGATGATTGCCAAAACCGGTTTGGCTCAGTGGATAGAGCGTCAGCCTGTGGACTGAAAGGTCCCAGGTTCAATTCCGGTCAAGGGCATGTACCTTGGTTGTGGGCACATCCCCAGTAGGAGGTATGCAAGAGGCAGCTGATCAATGACTCTCTCCCATTGATATTTCTAACTCTCTATCCCTCTCCTTTCCGCTCTGTAAAAAAATCAATAAAATATATTTAAAAAAATAAAAATAAAATAAAATACCTGATGATGGTCACGAAGGAGGGGGGAAATTTTATGATGACTTCAGAGAATCTTTGAATAAAACATTAGATAGAAAGCAGCTACAGATAATTATGACCCCAATGGGCATCACTGTATTCCAATAAAATATTACTTACAAAAAAATAAATTTATCAACTGCTGCTCGCCATAAAATATAAGAAGTGATTTCTAGGATATACAGTAAACTGAAAAAGCAAGATAGAGAAAAGTATGTATGGAGTGCTGCCATTAATCTAAGACAGTAGGTGAATCTATATCCTTTTGTTTAGGAGGAAAAAGGAAAGATAAAAAATTTTCTAAGTGGTCATCTATTATGGGAAGGAGGAAAGTGAAATAGAAAGGTATAGTGCTAAACTTTTCTGAATATTCCTTATTTAGTAGATTTGACTTTGGAACCTCGTATTTTATAAAACATAATAATAAAAAGTCATCTCTATACATCACAAGCAAAATGAAGCAAAGTATTCATTTGATGACACAACCACACAAAAAGGAACTAAAACAAGTGACTTTAAAAATATAGCTATTAAAAAGACAGACATATAGACCAATAGAATAGAAAGCCCAGTAGTAAATCCTTATATATATGGTCAAATAATTTTCGAGAGGGTGTCAAGACCATTCAATGGGGAAACAACAGTATTAAAAAAATTGGTGTTAAAAAATTAGATATCCTACATGTAAAAACACCCCACAAACAAAGAAGCTGGGCCTTTACCTTATAATTGTTTATAAAAACTAACTCAAAATGGATCATAGTCCTAAATATAAGAACTAAAACTATAAAATTCTTTTTAAAAAAAATATATATTTTATTGATTTTACACAGAGAGGAATTGAGAGAGACCGACAGAAACGTCGATGAGAGAGAAACACCGGAACACCATCGAAAATTATTTGACCATATATATAAGGATTTACTACTGGGCTTTCTATTCTATTGGTCTATATGTCTGTCTTTTTAATAGCTATATTTTTAAAGTCACTTGTTTTAGTTCCTTTTTGTGTGGTTGTGTCATCAAATGAATACTTTGCTTCATTTTGCTTGTGATGTATAGAGATGACTTTTTATTATTATGTTTTATAAAATACGAGGTTCCAAAGTCAAATCTACTAAATAAGGAATATTCAGAAAAGTTTAGCACTATACCTTTCTATTTCACTTTCCTCCTTCCCATAATAGATGACCAGCTGCCTCTTGCACACCCCCCACTGAGGATGTGCCCACAACCAAGGTACATGCCCTTGACCGGAATCGAACCCAGGACCTTTCAGTCCGCAGGCCGACACTCTATCCACTGAGCCAAACCGGTCCCAGCTAAAACTATAAAATTCTTAAAAGAAACCTTAGGGGAAGAGTTTTATAACACTGGATAATCATTTCTTGGATATGACAACAAAAGCAGAGGCAACAAAAAAATATTAAGTTAAAAATTGCACTACCATAAAAATTAAAAGCTTCCATGAATCAAACAACACTATCAAAAGTGAAAAGAAAATCCTGGCCAGTTGCTCAGTGTTTAGTGTGTTGGCCTGTGGCGGGAAAGATTGTGGGTTCGATTCCCAGTGAAGGGCACATACCTCAGTTACAGATTCCCTGGCCCCCTGTAGGGGCAAGTGAAGGAGGCAGCCAATTGATGTGTCCCTCTAATGTCTCTCTTTCTCTCCCGCTCCTCTCTAAAAATTAATGGGAAATATATAATTTATTTATTTGTTTATTTATTTATTTTTGGTGAGGATTAACAGCAACAACAAAAAAAGACCAACTGGGAAAGACATATGTGAAAATCATACACAGTGGAACCTCGGTTCTCGAACTTAATTCATTCTGGAAGGCTGTTCAAGAAGCGATTTGTGGAAGATAATAATTTTTTCCAATTATAAATAATGTAAATTGAATTAATCCATTCTAGATCCCAAAATGATTTCCTGTTTTAACCTTTCTTAAATATAGCACATGTCTAATGTATTGTTTAATCTATAAATTAACACGTTTATTAAGTTTACTGAATCACCCTTACTAGCCTTAAACAGATCACTTTTAGTGTGTAATCCTAGGGATGAAAGGTCAGCATGCAGCATCTTTGCTTGTTCATAGATCACTGCCTCTGAAATAGCTGTCACTAGCTAATTGCTTTTCGTTTATCCAAATTAGCAAGTTTTTCTACCTCTTTCATTGTCTGTGATCACTGTTTCTTTCACACACTTAGCAACATTAGCACTCTTTTTTAACAGAATGATTCTGTTGATTTTTAAAAATATTTTTTTTACTGATTTCAGAGAGGAAGGAAGAGGGAAAGATAGAAACATCAATAAGCCCTAGCTGGTTTGGCTCAGTGAATAGAGCATCAGCCTGTGAACTGAAGGGTCCCAGGTTCGATTCCAGTCAAGGGCATGTACCTTGGTTGCAGGCACATCCCCAGTAGGGGGTGTGCAAGAGGCAGCTGATAAATGTTTCTCTCTCATTGATGTTTCTAACTCTCTATTCCTCTCCTTTCCTCTCTGTAAAAAAAAATCAATAAAATATATTTGTTTAAAAAAAGAAAGAAAAAGAAACATCAATGATGAGAATCATTGATCAGCTGCCTCATGCATAGAGATTGAGTCACAATTTGGGCATATGCCCTTGACCTCCTGGTTCATAAAGGTCAATGCTCAATGACTGAGCCACACCAGCTGGGCAACATTAGCACTCTTGATGGCTTTTTTATGTCTTAAAATTGCGCTAATCCTTGACATTGATTTCACCAGCAATAAAAGCATTAACTCTGTTGCCTGAGAGACACTTTTTGTCATTCACAGGTATCAGCTTGAAAGGGTTATCAGTTTAAAAATAAACTGGTTGACAACCGAATTTTCAAAAAATGAGGTTCGGCTGTATTTGATAAGGGATTAATAGTCAACAAATATAAAAAACAGCTACAAGGAGAATCCAAGATGACTGCACAGGTAAACACCTAACCACAGCCGCACACAACAATTTCAATGAAATACAACTAAAATATAAAATGAACATTGCCAGAGCTACAGGAAGTTGACCTACTGGAAATTCTACAAGAAGAAAAGAGAAAACCAGAAGGAAAGTCAGAGGAGCTGTAAAAGCCTAAGGTACGGAGATACGCTGCGCGTGCAGAGAGGATGGAGCCGGAGAGGAGGGGGAGGCCGAGTGCCTGGCTGGCGTTCCCTAGCGGGAAGGAGATAGGGGCTTTGGACTGTGCTGAACCCCAGGCCCATCAGCGCTGAACCCCAGTTCTACGCCAGACCCTGGGGACACAGGCTCAAAGAGAGGGAGCCTGGGCGGTGAGGTGGAATCCCAGGGGAGCGGCAAAAGGCAGAGCCCCCAGAGTCGAACACATTGTGTGCAGAGGACGGACTGTTGACTCTGATGCTGGATTGCCCTGGCGGGAAGGAGACAAGGGCTCTGGACTGTGCTGAGCCCCACTTCCAACTGCTCTGAACCCCAGTTCTGGGCCAGACCCCGGGGACCCAGGCTCAAGCAGAGGGAAAGTGGGCAGTGAAGGGGAAACCTGGGGGAGCGGCGAAAGGCGGAGCCCCCGGAGGCGCGCACATTGCGCGCAGAGAAGAGACGGTTAGCTGTGCCGCGGGATTGCCCTAGCGGGAAGGAGACAAAAGCTCCAGATTGGAAAGAGCGCGATGAGGAGTGGGAGCCGCCGCGGGGCACCGGCAGGGAGCTGGGCGACAGGGCCCCCGGGGGGGAGGTGCAGCTGGGCCCTCGCCTGCTGATCATGGGCCACGGAGCAGTAGCCGGGGGCTGTTTCCTGGGCGACGCCGACCCCAGCAACAGGCTGAAGCTGTTCAGGAGGCCCTGGAGAATAAAGGGGCGCCTCGGGCCAGCCTGCTGAGCTTCCAGGACAAGGAGGAAGAAACCGAAGAAG